GTGACATGGTGAATTAGCAATAATAGATATGTCAATAACATGCGAAGGACCCCCTAAAGTTCGATGATTGGATGTTAATCACAATTTTCTACGAGTTTTCGATACTTGAGGACAATCTAACAATTTTATTAGGTTGAAAGGTCTGCCTCGATGATATGAATGTTTAGTGCGCTTTGACAAACCGTGATATTTTCAAAGTTTTGGATATTTTATAGTTTTAAATTAAAATTTAAAAGCTTAAGATCCATGCTTATACACATGCTGCCAATAAATATATAATGCACGAGCCATAACAAATATGGTGCTTTGCAAGTAAAACCAAATGTTCCATGGGGTTAAGCCCAGTACAAAGGTCACAACACCGAAATTCAATCACTGAGCGGAAGCCCAAAACAATTTAGCTAATTTAGAAAATAATCAATAATTAACCAATTATTTGTTTCATAACTTTCCCAATTTAATTTAACTACTCAATTAGGTTTGATTAATATTAGTATATTCTTAATATTTAGTGTTGTACTTTCTTAATGTATTAATTTCTTTTTTATTATTATTATTGTTGGGGTAATGTGTTATGTGAATTTCATTTTGAAGTTGAATACAATTTTTTTGTTTGTTATTAATTTTATTAGCCATCTTGATTGGATTTAATCACTTTGATCAAAAAAATTTTCATTTTATTTAATTTGGTTTGACATATGAATTTAATTTAATTTCATAAATTATAAATATTGTAAATTCTTTTGACTTAAACTTTAACCAATGCAACCCAAGTTTAAGGTGCTACTTTTTAAGCTTGTTTTCATCATTTAATATCAGCGTGATGTTAATTGATTCATGGGTTTTAAATTCATCAATTTAGTTGGTTTAAATGTTTGGTCATAGGTGATATTCAGCTAGTAATTCATGAAAGAGATTAAGCAACAATTGACTTTTCTTTCATCCTTGTGTTAACATTGAGGATGGACCATCATCATCATCACATTATACAAGGCAATAAGCATCTTCTATAGGCTCTGTGTCGAGGCGAGGCATATAATTCAGATGATAGAACTAGCATATGCCATAGAAGAGGTACTACCTTCATCTCTGAACTTGCATGGTGGATGCAGGATCGGGAATGAAGGTGCCACAAAAGTAGCATAATACTCTAGTTTGACGAGGTTGCTGACCAAATTGTTTTGCTTTGATGGGGTTAAGAAGTGAAGCCTAAAGATGCTAATAATAGTGAAGTTCCTAACATTAGAGTTTTGTTGAGAGACTTAGTAATTTAAAGAATAAACTTGGAAAAGCCTCATCCCCAAATGGAGATTGTCAGTTGAGGTAAAATACTAAGCCAATGAGATATTCAGCCAAGGCATTTGAATAATTTTTTTTCTTCAATCATCCCTCGGGATACTTTCACTATTGTCCAGCCTATCAACAAGTTGATGATTGATAGAAAATTCTTGAGAACCTTTTTAAATACATCATCACAAATAACGATGACAATGAGGATACGGCAGCCAATCGCAAGGTCTAGAGTCGGATTACAATCATCAAGGATCATCCTTGCTAAAAGCTTGTGTATGCTTAGCTTGATTACAGATTTCATGCTGCCATCTTAAGGCTTGGTTGTTCATGATGCCTAACTTGGCCATTCATGTTGTTGGGTTATTATTCTTAGCTTGCTTACAGATTTCCTTACTGCTTGATTTTCTTTGGTGCTTGTGCAATGGTTTAGTTTGCTTCTAGAATCTCATAATTTGGTTAAAATTTTAATAGAGGTTATGATGATTACAATTGATAAAATCTCATTATTGGTATGGCAACATGTTTGCAACCATTTTGAAGATAAGAATAAATCAAGTTTCCTAAGATTATTATGATTCTTAGTCTTTTATACTTTGGAAGACCATAACGGAGGATTACAATATTTTGTATGGAATTTAAATTAATACATTAGATATTAATTTTAATTTCACTATGCTTGGAAGGCGCATAAACCGTGCAATCGTATAGTTGGTTTACTTGAAAGTGATGAAAGGAGTTCATAAATATGAGCCTCAATTAATAATTACATATTAACTTTTATTTTCATTTCTAATTTATTTATTTTTTTTATACAAAACTAAGAATTGTAGGTACAAGATCATCATTAGCTCATCATCATTCACTAATCACTTTTTATTGGATAGTCGAACATAAAGATCAAGGAATTAGTACAAATTCATAGAGTTTAAATTTAATGTATTTTTTAAAAAAATTTTTAGGTTTATGTAAGTCATAAGTGTGTGTGTATCAAATGTAAATGTAATTTTCTAAATACAAATATGTAATACAGCTACTTTTTATGTTTTGATTTTTATTTGAGATTTTATTTGTACATTTGAGCTTTTGTTTAGTTTGTAAAAAATAAAATTTGTAATAAAATTACTCCTATTGTATAAAATTTTGCAAAACAATATTAATATTATTATTGTATAAAATTTTGTAAAACAATACTAAGATTCTTATTGTGTAAAATTTTAAATGAAATTTATTCTTAAAATTTTTTTAGTTAATCAGTGTTTTATGATTGAAATTAAATTATTAAAGCAAACATTTTTTTTAGATAAAATTATTATTTTTTATTTAAAAATTAACTATTATAATAATTTTATAATACGAGTTAATTTTAAGTCAAACATGAACCAAACACGAACACGAATATGTTATTAGAGTCGAACATGAATACGTTATTCGAGCCGAACACAAACACACTGTTCACGAGTCATTTCGAACAAGAGTCGAACACGAGCCAAGTTTGAGCTTGCTCATCAGGCTCGACTCGTTTACAACATTATCAAAACTTATTTATTTTCACCAAAATTAGCTAAATTGTAACGCATCGTTTGGAGGTTACATTTTAGCATATCCTCGTCTATTTTCCCTCACAATCATTTTAAATCGTGACACATAACTTAATGGTGATCATATGTCATAATGGACCCTTGTATACTTCTCTTTATAATCAAGTAGCAATTCTATGAAATGCATTACAATATCAAAAATTAAAACTTAGATCTCCCAAGTAATGTACTAAAGCTTGCCAAAATCATAATTAGATTAGATCCAACAAAATTGATATAACTTCTACTGCTGGTTGTCAATGTAACACTAACCCATAATATTTAAGATGCAGGTTAAGAAGCTACACTAGCAGCCATCAAAGAAAAAAATGCCATAACACAATAACAACAACAACAACAAACCTTTATCCCACTAAGTGGGGTCAGCTACATGAATCCTTTTTCACCATTGCATCCTACCTATCATTGCATCCTATTAAGTGTTATATTTTTATTTAATTCTAAAAAATTAAGATCATTTTTTATGCAATATCTCTTTCTAGGTTTATCTCTGTCTTTCTTAACATAAATCAAATCTAAAACATCTACTTTCCTAATCGGATCATCAGATGGTCGACGTTTAATGTGACCAAACCATGTAAGATGACTCTCTAAATTTGACCGTCATTGGAGCCACACCAACCCTATCACGAATATATTCAATTTGCATTTTGTCTCTAAGCGTAAAACCACTCATCCACCTAAGCATTCTCATCTCGGCAACACTTAGTTTTATGTTTCTCTTTTAAGAAAAAAATGCCATACATAAATAAAAATATTAAAAATCAAAAACAAAATTTAATGGTGACAAAAAATAACAACGGTAAAAAAAAGAATTATAGCAATTTTGATTAGCGCATGGAGCGTAGCACCAATCAATAGAAACATTAAAAATAAGACATCTCAAATATCGCAATCAATCTCTAGCATGACCACATCAACAAGCCTAATGATGCCCACAGTCAAATAAAAGGCGGGCTTTGGCAAGTAAACCAAAGGGTCAAACAATGGATGTAGGTAACAAACTACATGAGGTGCACAACATGACTGGGCCAACTTCAAAAAAAATAATGAAAAAGAAATAAATAACAAATAAAACTATTAATCCACATGAATAACAAAACATGTGATTCATAAGCAATTATAGAGTTAATTTTGACAAATGACCAGACCTATTCAAACTATTAAGGCTTAGTTTGGGAATGTTGTGACATGGTTGGGTTGATCTATTATGTGCAGATTAAAAATTAGTCCTGCCTTACACAGGTGGAGAAACTATAAATGAATTTGATAAAGAATCTGAGAAAAAAGTGCAAACACTCTAGTATTTTATGTTACATGTTTTCCGCACAAACGAAATATTGCATTCCTGTTGTAACGAGTAATGCAACTGACAACCATAATGAAATGAGGCCTGGAAATCTTTTGCAAGCCAAATGAGGCTAGATTTATTGGACCCAGCACTTTGTGATGAGAACGATGCACAAGTATGTTCAAGGTTTTGCTCAAGCCTTCGGAATTTCCAATAGAATGAGACAGCAGAATTGTTAGGCAGGATTTATACCACATGATATTTCAGATGTCATGACAATATGTCTAAACTTAATAATAGTTTTCTCCAAAGTTTAGCTGAAATATAATGATATAAACATATCAATAACATTTCCTAACAATTTGAATAACGTGGAAGAATTCTAAGCCACAAAGTAACCTGGTTACACTAAAATGTTTAATAAAAAAAAGGTCCATTATAAAATGAAGGTAATATTTTATTTAGAAGCCTTGTTTCAGATTTTTAGTTAATCGAGAATATTTTCTTCATGAAAATCAGAGCAGCATTTTTATCTTGGAAACTTACACAATTCCAAGTTCCAACCATTGCCACCCTCCCACCTCCCTCTTCTCCCACAAATCCACAAACAAACAAGTCAAAACCATCCAAAAAAAAGGAAAAGAATTTCAAGCTTTTGTAATTCAAACCATAAGTTCATAAAATGATACAATTCTTGTAAATAAGGCCTGCCGTTAACCATGTATCAAATAAGGTGAGATCAGACTACATATGTTCCAAAAGCTGGCATTAAAAATGAAACCAAAATGATGATTTGACATACAAATCAGAAATTATACCTCATAGTAATCATGGAGACCGAGCCCTTCGACATCTACAGGTTCCATAAAAGGCCAGGCCCATTTATGTTGTGAGATCTGATAAAAATGTTAAATGCATGAATAGCATTAAGTACTTTAGTGCATTTAGTTCAATATGAAAATGGCTTGATTTAAACACAGCTTTAGGAGATGACGTGAATCATGTTGATGAATATGCATGCATACAGACACACATACACACGAAATTATAGCTTGTAAAATTATTAGTTACAAATTTATAATACTAAAGGTAGATAAAACTAGATGATAAATTATTTGCAAGTGTAATAAGCCTGAGCACCTTGAATATGATGAGAAAAAAACAAAATTGATATACATGTGAGAATATAATTCATCAAGTTAAGGGTAGGCTAGTAAATAATAAAACTTCCATGAAATTAGAGTATCATTAAATTTTATAGGTTAAATTTTATAAATATGCAATTAGATAGCCAATGCTTTATAAATCAAAGCGTTCAACAACAAATAAGTCACTAACAACTAATTTTTACATGAAAGATATAAAACAGCGAAGATTAATGTGTAGGAAAACCAAGATATAGATAAATAAAATATCAGACAAGATAGATGTATTAGAAACAGCTATTGAAAAACAGGTGGTAAATAATACATGAATACTTACAGCACAAATACAATTGCATGCAGAATATTGCAATAAGACAACTAGATAAGATGAAAGTGCAAGAAAAATACTAAAGATATCATAAGTTTTGTGGCAGATTGCAAAAACCAGATTCAACACCTTATATAACCATCAACAAGAAAGAAAGAATAATAATTGAGAAGTTCAACTGAAACTTTTTGAGATAAGATTGATGGAGGTGCTAAGGATGTTAACGACACATACAAAAGTAGGTAGAGATTGGCTTTAATCTTAAAGATAGCCTTTCTCACACCAAAATATTTTGATTGTGGAGGCCCAAAAATTTAAATACCACCTTAACCAAATACTAAATTATTAAAAAAGCAATAACTAAAACTCAAGGTTAAGTTATATTCTAATATGACAAAAATATGGAACTAGATAGTATAATACGATAATACTGTCAAAAATCCTTGTCATATATTTTTAAATTAAAGTCAGTAGCTCACTCCAAATATAAGCTAGCCATGCATAAAAAAATTCGTCAACTATAGCTTCACGTATTGAGAAACAAATAAACTGGATTATTCAATTTGCATCAATATAAACTATGAATGTGTTTGACCGGTGATAAAAATAGTTGTATGATTCAATATAGTATCCCTATATGGTTTCAATCGTAAAGACAAAGAACAATAGTCATGATTCTCATCTGGAAAGCTAAAAAACAAAAATTTTGAAAACTAAATTTGGCAGTAAAATAGCCTTTTTCTACCAAAAGGACCAAAGCCTGACTCTAAAAATATACATACATAAAAGTAAGTGCGCATGCATTTGCCATACAAATATATTAAGGATAGCCATAGATACCCAAAAAATGGAAAATGAACACAATGAGTTACAAATCATACTATAAGTCCACTTTGTTTATACAATATAACCTAAAAAAAAAAATTCTGAAGAGATTCATTTAATACATTACATATCCCCAAGTGTAAGCATGGTTTGGAAGATGACTTGCATCAAATAGCTGGCGCATAATATAGATGATCATTTGCATGAAATAAAACGAGCATACTATAGATTATTACTTACATCGAATGAAAAGGCACAACAAAGACCCATAATGGGTTCTAGCACACTACAATATAAAATGCATAAAATAGCCAAAAAGTATGCTTGCCTGACGCAAAATAGTGCCAAATTGTCGCATGAGTTCCTGCATCCTCTTAGAGCAAGCAGCGTGTTGTTTTGACCCATCTACAGGCTTCTTTGTGCAGCTATTATTACCACCACTGTTAGTATTGTTGTTACTGTTGCTTTTCTCCTTATCCTTCAGATCGGAAGTCCCTTTGAACTCGTTCTGCCTTTTCCTGTTGGCATAGAACTCTGAAACCTCGTTCACTTTTTGCTCCAACTGTAAAAAGCTGCCAATCTCTGCTAATTTTGACTACAGAAACAACAATAAGGTTCAATTTGCAAGACGAATTATACCTCATCCATCTGAGATGTCAGCTCATCCACACTGCGCTTAAACCTTAGTTCATCGGCTACTTCATTATTCTCTTTCTCTTGACTCCTCTTCTCAACTGCGCTACTGCAGATAGGGTCCTCATGGCTAATATTTATGAGCGGCTGCTGCGTAAGAGGTGAAGCGAGCAATTCCGCGGCATCACCGTGAGTAGCTGTTAGCGTCGCCATTATATACCTGCTGCAAATCCGAAATGGAGTACAAATAAAGTAAAAATGGTGCACTTTTTAGTTGAAATGAAAACAAAAACACCTGGATAAGACTCGTGCAGGGACAAATAACAGGAATTAACCTAAATCCTGCCAAGCAGCAAAAATAATAACCTATATCCTACAGATTCTCTCCGGTTTTGTCCTAAATTCCAGATTTATTAAACCTAATGGGAGCTAGTCCAGGTGGATTTACGGAATTAAGACAAATTGAAGCGTGCAAAGGCGAGCGGGAAGAAAAACAAAGTTACCTTCGCAAATTTTCTTGTAGGAACAGAGCAGAAGGGGGAGAAAGATTGGAGTTCCGGAGGTCTTCTTCTGTTCAAACACTGCTTCCCCGTCGTTGCCTTCAAAGCTAGCTCCAGTCGCGGCTCTGCGAGGGTTTCGGATAGGAGGGAAGGGAAGGTCGCGGGCCCCGTTGGTTATTTTTCGGTTAATTTTATATAAGGGAATTTAAATTTATATTATTTATTTGTTTATTAATTAATACATTATTTTTTAAATCAGTTTAAACTTATTAAACTTATATAAAATTTAATAATATTTTATTAATTAAATTAAATTTTAATTAAGATTTTCTTAATTTAATAGATGACTACTCATCAATTAATTAATGAATATTAAATACTAATTAATTATAAGGTAATTAATTTTTTTTATATTAAGTAATATATTTAATGAATAATTTATTAATCAAACCATAACAACAATAACAATAATTCTCTATGCCAATGAGCGGGGTGAGCTATATGAATTTTTTCTCCATTGTGTGCTATTGGTGTCATGTTTTCATTTAATTCTAAAAAATTAAAGATCATTTCTTGTACAACATGTTCAAATTTTTGTAGGTCTATCTCTAAATTTTTCAACATAAGTCTAAATCTACAAAATTTATAGCTTTCATGGTAGACTTGCACGACATGAATCCAAACTAATTTTAAGAAATTTTTGTATTGTTTTGTAACATATATTCAATTAATCTTTCCCATAGCTTTAATGCACGATATATTACTTTAGTTTCTCTATAATTTGCACACTCTTATGCATCTTCTTTTTTCCTAACCAAAAAAAATACTAATAAATTATTTCTCTACTAATCAGATTTAAAAAAAAATAAAAATTATATTAAAAATTTTAATAAGCTAAGAAATTGTCATATCTTCTAAGTATTTTCACATTTCTATTTAAATGCCATTAGATTATATTATTTTTTTCACACTTCATTTTCTTTATTCTTTAGATAATGTATGGCAACAACTAGGATTTAAACTACCAAAATTTAGTAAACCCTGTAAATCCAGATTTAGTAAATCCTAAGAGGTTCATAAATCATGTTAAATCCAATACAACTATTTAACAATTTCTGCAATGACTTAAAAGTCAGTTATGGTTGTTTACACTTTAAAATGAATATATACTCCAATTTAAATGAAACTATGGATGGTTTGGAGCATGGGATCATAATAGCATAATATAAAAATTGTTGCAGAGAAATAAACTCTGAAAATATTGAACTTATGAGATACATGTTAAGCCATCAAACAAATATATATATATATATATATATATATACTACAAACA